CAACTTCCAAAGCTTTGAAGGTTAATTAAAAGAATAAAAAAAGGTTAATTAAAAGGATAATTAAACTATTATAAACTCTACTAGCTAGAAGGAGCATTGATTCGTAGAGCATGGTCTTATCATGGGGATGTCAAGCCGTTGACTTTGATAACTAAACTATTTGACCTTCGATATTTCTGTCCACTAAGCAAACAGAATCCCTAAGAAGAAGACTTGCATTGATATTTCCCAAATAATGGTGTAGAAAAGCAATATTATAGTTTAATGTGATTGGTCATGTACCTATAGGCTTCACTTGGACAGGAAAAAAAAAGGCACAATTATGTTTTCAGCTATGCTCCAATGCTCTTTTTTGATGCGAGACTAAGTCACATAGGAAAAGGATATGAATCTCTGAACTGCACTGAAGATGAAATTCAGAAATGTCAGAACAGAAGAAGATGATATGGCGTTGTGAAGAGATTCATCAGGCAAATTAAAAAAAAAAAAAAGTACTTCAAAGGAAACATGGAAGCAGACATGTTCATCACCTTGTTGATTGGTACAAGGACCTATGGTTCAAACATGCAACGCCGAAATTCTTTTTTCTTGCTTGGCTTAAATCGTTTTTCTAGGGCAGATCGGATGGTTACATGGAGTTCAAATATTTCTACTATGTTCCCATGATGATGAATCTCGTAATCACTTGTTTTTCGAGTGTAGTTACACCTCTGAAATCTGGAAAAACCTCGCATACCACCTACTTGGTAATTACTACACAAAGGAATGGATTCAACTAGTTCATCTCTTATCTGATCAATCCATCGACAAGGTCAAGTTGTTTATGCTCAGCTCACATATATTAGATTTGGAAGGAACGAAATCATCGTGACATGGTGAGCCTTCGAACACCTTAGCCATTGTCATCAAGGTCATCGATAAAGATATGTGCAATCGACTAAGCTCCATCAGGGCCAACGTAGACCTTGACTATGATGAGAGTCCAAGTGCATGGTTTGGATTTTGCTAACTTTTCTTAATCTTTAAAAAAAAATTCATAAACACAGAATAATGACACCGTTCATGTAAAAAAAGGCTTTGTTTTTTTTGTTTGAATATACATTCATTTAAAAAGAAGAAAAAGACTATATGTCACATAACAATAAAATAGATCATACTTTTTTGTTAGAATGAAAGAATGAGAGCGAGGAAATAATGTCAAGGCATCTGCTGTTGTTGTTGTCGTCTCCTAAGGGCAGTAAAGTGAGCAGCAATCTGATCGCAGTCGGGAAGCTTGGGATGAACATGCTTAGCATCCTTTAAACCTCTTTCTCCTTGTCCTTTTTCCTTTTGATCACCCGGCCACATTGTAAAGACGTTGTACACTATATGGTAACATTGGCCACACTCTTTCTTTTGACGCCTTCTCCTTCCCTTGTAGTAGTACCTCCAACATTCCACGTCTTTGGCCATGGGACTGCTTGATGCTGATCTTGATATCCTCCTTATTGACCTCTTTCTCTCCTTTCTCTCTTCTTGAGTCTCTCTGAATCTAAATACTCTCTGGTCTTTTTCCAACACTACTTCCTCCTCTATGCATTCATCCTCGTCACATAATTTTCTTTGATCCCTTGATGATTCACTACGACTCTCTTCTTGTTTTTCCGTGAGAGTGAACTTATCCACTTGTGCTTCCTTCTCTTTTTCTGTCTCGCTGTTGTCTGTTCCCTACCCGAACACACCAAACAAGTACTAGATTATATATACTCGCAACTCCCACAATGCAGAGAAGTTTTTATTTATATTGATACAAAGATTCACCTGTTTGTGAAAGTCGGGAGTGTACGCGAGTGCCAAAACTTCTAGACGGAGGCCGTGCTCCGCTGCTATCTCAGCCAACAGTTTGAACTTAAACTCATCCGATACTGAGGTTATGGAGAGCTTCTCTTTAATCTACATTCGAGTATATATATATTTTATTAGTAGTACTTGCATGGCCGCTCAGAAAGGGATGGAGAAGAAGACATGTGAGGAACCTGAGGGTTGACACGATTGTCAGGCAGGAGATGGAGAGCCGTTGACACAAAGGGTTGGCCGTAACGCTCCACAAAAAGAAGCCTCAAGGTGCGTAGCTCAGGCAGGTCTCCACACCTGGCAGAGGCAAAGACAAGTGTTGAAACCGCTTCGTGGATGCCATCGGGAAGATCTCTGTGCCTCCGAATGTAGGAGAGGTGGAGGAGGATGAAGTCGGAGAAGTGAAGCAGCAAGTGGTAGAGGGACATGAGATTCTCATCAAGGAAGAGATGTTGAGCCCGATGAAGAGCACGGCTTCGTTCACCAATGCGGAGCAACTGGGCTATGTCGTGACGCAAGTGTGAGGAAATGGCGTATTTCTTGTTCTTGAGCAGCTTTAGACGACGCTGAAGCTGCTTCACCACACTCTTACACTTGGAGGCCTTTCGCCATCCCAACAGAAAACCAAACATGGTACTAATCGTATTCTATCAAACTTGAAAGATGAATTAAAATTGATGGTAATGAGTGAAACAGAGGATTTGAGAGTTTTTAGGAGGAAGTGGGGATTATGGGGTTGGGGCAGAGGAAGTGGCCCCCTCCTCGACGGTTATTACTTGTTTCTTCCTTTTTTACCCTCCCATTACTAAGCCTTCCCTCGTTTTATTTCCATTTCGATCATCATATTGAAAATTATTATGTTCTAATGATAGATATATTTTCATCACACAAGCATGTATACGATATTCTGATTCAGATTCGCCAAATCCACGGCTAACTACACTGATCAACATCAACGAAGCAACTAATCCAAAATTGGGTCTATGAGTATGGATATCTGAAACTCTACTTCCACCTAAATATCGAGATACTGTATATTTGGATATCTGAAACTCTACTTTCAACCTAAATATCGAGATATATTTACGAATCTGATTTAAATTCTTTAATTCTATATGATAGACCTAATTGTTTTCATATGTATTTTATATCATTTAGATTAGAATATATAATTTTTACCAAATCATCAATAAAAAGATTGATTGTTTACTTTCATTAACTAACATATGTAATATTTTGTAAATCTTTTAGC